TTTGACTCTTCCTAAAGTGCATCCTTTCTAATAAACTGTAATAGTAAGTAAAGCGCTCTCCTGAGCTCTGTGAGCTGTTCTAGCAAACTATCAAGTGAGGAGGGGTGAGGGGAATCCTTGACTTGTAGCCCAGGTGCACGGAAGTGTGGCCACCCTGGGCGCCCAATACTTGCAACTGATGTCTACAGTTGGGGCAGTCTTGTGGGACTGAGCCCTTGAATCTGTGGGGTCTGACACTCATTTTGGGTACTTAGTGTCAGATCAGAATTGAATTGTAGGACAACCAGTTGGTGTCCAGAGAACAGGAGAAATAGTTGTTGGTGTGGGGAAAAACACACTCCACACATCTGGTGTCAGAAGTGCAAGTAAAAGGAGTTCTTAGCTCCCCACCTGTACATGCCTCCAGTACGGTGCTGGGAGGACGGAGACGGAGATACACAGGAAGGGGGGCCACGGGCTCTGCACTGGGCAGGCACCTTGCAGACTGCCAGAAACATGGCCTCAGCTCTGAAGGAAGGTCTGTGAGAGAAACACCAGGCGTCAGCTTAGAAACTGCAGGAAGACACATGATTCCGTACACAGAGGTAAGCCGGGCTCACAGCTATGCTAGGGTAGGAGTTACTCTAATTCAGTTATAACATTTTCCAAAGTATGAGGCACTGCAAATCTGAAATTTAATAAACGATGCAGGAGTTTTGAGTAACATTTTGGTAGCTCACGACAACAGCATTCACTGCTCTGGCACCCAGTGATGAATTGAATTTGGTGGCAATAAGTCCAAGGTGGCTCTGAGTGAATAGGATGGGTGATTCCTGCACAAAGGGGAGTCCTTGAGTGGGTTCCTGGACCTTGGGCTGGGTGCTAGTTGTGATCAACCCTAATGACTCATAGCTTTAAGAGCTGATGGCCACAGGGATGAGAGGTTGGAAGGTTAGAGAAGACGGGCGGTGCCACTACTGGGAGAATCGGAAAATCACTATGTATGAATCGCTCAGAGTCTGCAAATCATGTTCACAACTCGGATTTTCCTAACAGCCTATCAGAGAGGGAGAAAGGACTCTGGGACATATTGCACAAGTTCAATATAAACCCTGAGACTCTGAGAGGTCCCCTGACTTGTCTGTTGCCACATGTCTAGTAGATACTGGATCTCTCTCTTCCAAGCCCAGTGCATCTTCCACGGCTCTAAAGGGGAGAATATGGAAAGAAAAAGTCCCTGATCATCCCTTACATATGGAACAGAAAGGCCTGATCTCGCGTGGCTGTGGGCAATGGAAGGCAGGGTAGGAAGGCTGCCCGAGGGCCCTCAGCTCCCACCTGAAGCCGCAGGAATAGAATTGGTTAATTTCCTCCCAGAGGCATGACGAGGACACGTGCACAGCTGATGATTGTTTTAAAATACAGACTTTAAATATATAAGAATCATATTTTCTATAGTTAATCTGTAACTAAGGTTTTCTAGGCATAAAAATAATGCTTTTACTATCACTACAATTTAATTTTACTTATGGCACATTCATAATTCCCAGGCATCTTTATAGCGTTGCTTTTATAAGTTTGCATTCATTTTTACAGCTCCGTGTGTGAAACTGCTTTGAAGATGAAAAGCACTGTATAAGATCTACGTATCATTATTTTTTTCCTGAGAAAAGAAACATCTAAGATACTCACGATACTCGCTTGATGTCTGGAAGCCAGGAGAGTCCTGCAATGAGGGAGGGCTCTGCGCAGTGTCAGCCGCTCCATGTAACCCGAAAGAGGAGGAGGAGCAGGCAGTGTGTTAACTTGCTCAGATCTCTCTCCATCTGAGGTCTGGATGTCTGCCTGGGCCTCTGGGGGCTCCCCACCTTGTCCCTAGCCTTTCGGCTTCAAGAACCATAGACCATCAGCAGTCAATATTCTTGCTCTAAAATGCACAATTCTCTAAATATGAATGTATTGGCAAGGCGCTTCCACTGGGCTTGGAGATATAGTGAGGGAACACCTAGCCCTAACTCACATATGGAGTCATCTGGGATGAATTTCTGGGGAGAGTAGCTTGTTAACCAAAACCTTGACAATGTGCACACCTGACTAATTCTTTGCTTCTCGCTGAATTAACCCAGAGTAAATTAACAGAGGAGATAATGCAGCAGGCTCTCTGAGGTGTGCAGTCAGCTCTTATGTACACAGACGCTGCAATAGCTATTGTCTTGCTCCCTAAACACGGCCTTGCAATGCTGATTATTTAGAGTGATAGGTATATTCCCAGCACAAACACTGGCACATAGTAGGTCTGATAAAGCTCAGGATTTCCTGGGTGGGGATTATTCTAATTTAACCATAATATTTTCTAAAAGCAAAAGCACAGTGGTTTGTGTCTGAAATGTAATGGAAGATATTGGGATTTTGAATAACTTTTTGGTCACTAATAAGAGTGTTGACTGTTTATAGGAACAGTGATGGGTTGGAGGAGGGGGCATTAGATGAGCCCAGGCAGTTCTGAGGTTAATAGGCTTGGAGCTGATGAGGCACACACAGGCAGGGCAAGGGGAGAAGAAACAGCTCAGGAGAAAGGTCATGAACCCAGTGTCCACCTCGTGTTGTTAGGATGCCAAGGGGAACATATCGGGGTTAAGGGGCTACAACTCCCACTGGGTCCAAGGGGTTTAAATGGGTTTTGGATGTCCTGAGGTGGGAAGCGAAGGATATTCCCAGCTGTCCTTGGGAATGTACGCAGGATGCCAGCGGGGAGGGAGAGGCCAGAGGATGGGCTGGTTGGAGAAGGCGTGGGTGCCACAGAGCCACTGGAGAGAGCATGGGATCTAGAAAGGTACCATCTGAATCAAGGGACTTGTTGGGGGGGCTCCTTCAAACCATGGCATGCTCACCAGGGTGGGCCTGCATGACTCAGGATGGGAGGAGATGGTGTCACCAGGGACCAAGGGCCTCTCTGCACTGCCCTGGTGTGCCATCGAAGCAGTGATGGCCACACAAGCCCTTGCCCAGGGGGCAAGTCCCCTATCTCTCTATCTGAAGCACTTCCTGGGTACTATGGCTGCAAGGGCAGAGACTGCAGAGCTCTCACCAATGGTGCCTCCTTCTCTCTCCAAGAACAGAGCCGGGCCACCCCCAGCCCCCAGCCCCCAGCCCCCACATGACTGGTTCTCAACACTGGAGCATGAGTGGAAGGGCAGGTCAGCCCATCTGCACTGAGATGGTTCAGTGTACATACATACACCTTGTACACTCTTGCTCAATCCCCACCTGTGGCTGAGGCAGAGTGGGCAGTGGAGGATGGAGGATCTAAGGGGTGGCAAGGCCACTGGAAGGCCCCTGAATGGTTACATGGCTCAGGACCTTGCTGTCACACTTTCAACCATGATTTGAGCAGGAAATAAAGCCTTGTGGTATTAGGTCCCTAGGGCTGGAGATGCTTGTTACTGCACTCAGCCTAACTGACTAATGCGTGAATACGTGAATGCACACTGAATAGAGCTGCCAAATAAAACTGCAGTCCTGGAAGAAAAGTGCTCCCAACTTTGGGGAACCCTGCTCTTCTTCAGTTCTCCCAGAGTCTGGCATGCTGGGAGACAGATGCTGAGGTTCGCATCACGTGCAACATCCAGGGAGAGAGGCAGCGTCTTCGATGTGTCAGAGGAGGTAGGCACAGGCAGAGATGGATGTTGGAGAGAATAGAGCCAGACACTAGTTAAAGGCAGTCAAGACAGATTTTCTTCAGTCCTGTGGGGAGGGGAGAGAGCCTTCCTTAAAGCTGAGCTCCACTCTGAATACTGCGGACAGCTGGGGACCCACAGTCCAGGACCAGAGTGGGGTCTGCAGATGGAAAATTACCAAGAGGGGCCATCAAGGGTCGGGGGTTCTTGTCAAGCCAACTGAATAGGATCCTTGCTCAAAGTGGGCTGACGGCTTTGACAAGGATGGGGATGAGGAACCTGATCAGACGTCAAAGGTGGGGGTTCTGGCTCAACTGACTAGAGGAGTTCTTGCTAAGACGGGGCCCTGTGGGTAGAGAACAGGGTCCAAGGGTGAGGCCTAGTTGAACAGAGGACTTAGAGAAGCCTGTCTAAGGAGTGGGCAAGGAGAGAGTGTTTGTCATGACAAAGCCCAAATGGAGGCACCCTCCATGGCACAGAGTTCTCTCCGCCAGGGAACTGCTGCCGAGGGTTTGCCATCAATGACGACCGAAACTTCTAACAGGGAGATCTTCCAACATGCTGACAAATGCTTACAAGCAAAATGGATTATTGTTTGCTCTGCAGAGCACATTGCCTCCAGGGAACACAGCTTCTCCATGCAGTACCTCATTTGTGATGTGATTGAAATATGAAAATAATTTTCTCTGCCCACATAGCTTCAACATACTGATATTAACTATAAAAACAAATTGCTCCATAGGCCAAACAAGCAGATGGGTCATGAGCATTTAGGAATACAAAGAGGTCACTTAGCCTATGACAACTCAGAGAAGCACTGAGTCCAGTCAGGCTGTGGGAGGTGCCCTCGTGTGCTCGTCTACCTCCTCCTCTGTCTCCCGAGCCGCAGGACCTGGCGCCCTGCTCTCCCTTCCCTCTGTCTTTCCCGGGGCCAAAGGCTCTCAGATGTGAGTGTGCAGCAGCATTAGTGGAGGGCTTGTGAGCCCGTACCACCCGCCTCCCCACGCCCTCACCCTCCCACCCCCAACCCCCTCCACCCCAGCCCCAAGTCTCTGATTCAGTTGGTCTGGGGTGGAGGCCCAGAATCATTCCTGGTGATGCTGCTGAGTGGGGGCTACACTTTGAGGACTGCCAACAGAGCATCTAGCTCCGGTGGCCTAACTCGGCCGAAGGATGCAGAACAAACTGAATAGCATGGGGCTATCTGGCCTGCGGTGGAGTGGTAAGACCAACACACGGGATCCCTTTGTGGTTATCGATCCATTTAAGCTTTCTTCTCTGCTCACACCCAAGGGAACTGGAAGCGGTTAAGACCAATAGTGCAAAATAATACGATTAGGACATTTTAATAGAATAGACCATCTAAAGCAGTGTTGCTTTCTTCCTGAAAACCTGGCGAAAGCTATGAAGCTCCCCCACCCAGAAATACTACACACACACACACACACACACACACACCCCACACACAGACTAAACTTTACATTTACTTTCAAGAGTTCGTGAATTTCCTAAATCCCGGGGTAAGAACCCTTAATATTCCAAGAATAAGCAGAAAGGGGAGATGCAAACAGGTTTCTGAGATAAGAATGCAATAATAACCTGGAAAGGAATTTATCTTGAAGCTTTTTGGTGTGTAAGATAAATAAAAAGCTACAAGCCTCGGGTCAGACAAAGAGGAGAAGCGGTTTGCTGTGGACGACGTCTCCCTGGGGCATGGATTATGAGGGCTTTGGCTCGGGGCCCGAGGATGGAGCAGAGCAGGGCGTCAGTGCAGCTGGATGGGCCCAAGGTGGGTCTGAGCTGTTAGTCCACAGACAGGGTCCAACCGTGACCCCAAGACAAGACAGCTTTCTGCAGAGGCTGCAGCTTCCTTCCCACCAGCATCTGCTGATGTTGCGCGGGCTCCTTGCTGCCATCTCCTGCTCTGGGACCCCCTTGGGGTTGAAAGCAGAGGCAGTTAATGCTCATTCAGTGCTGTCCATGTGCACAGTGTACATCCAGTGACCTCCGTGCTCCTCAGAGAAACCCAGTGGGGAGGGTTCCACTTTGCAGGTGAAGAGGCTGGAGCCCTGGCGGCCACATGGCTGGTCTAAGGTCTGCAGTGAGGGGTAGAGCCAGCACTCAAATGTGGTGAGGCCCGTCCAAAGCCCCCGCCGTCCACCTGCCTAAGCTGGCCTGGGCTGTCCCATCCTTGTGAGTCTCGTCTTTCCCAAGCCCCTGCCTTGGACAAGACACGCCTTCTCTCTGGAGAAGAGAGCGAGGAGATGTCCTTCTCTTTTCCCTGCCTGGAGTCCTAGGGAGACGTGCTGGAGACCCCTTCTCAGTCGTCTCCTCCTCTAGCCGCTGTAACAGGCTGCCCTGGAGGAACAGAAACACAGTGATGCCATCACTGAATGTGCTGTAACTTTCTTTATCTCATCTGCCTGCCAAGAGCAGCCTATTTATTTCTGTGCAAAAGTGAAATAAATAATGGCTTTATCACTCAATACATCTGAGATAAAATTCCACTGCCGCAAATCATGAGCTGTGTGGATTTGGACGAGTTGTTCATCCTGTCTGAGCCTGTTTTCCCAAATGTAAATGGTGACAATGTCCTCTCTTAGAGCCCTTGTGAATGTTTACTAAAATGAAAATCAAATCACTCAACTCAGTAACTGGCATACAGTAGGTGCTTAATGCATGCTCTCTTCCTTCCCCCACTGCTTTGCTTTCCCTGGTTGGAGTGAAGGTAGACAGCTTCGTCATCACCCACAGCATATGGAAGCCATGCAACCCATCATAAAGCTGTCAGATGGGGTGCGTACTGTAGCTCAAATTAAAATATTTCTGTTTACTTGTGTTCTTTGTGCCAGAGGCACACTCAGCTGACATATGTCTGCGGTACAACATTTGCAAGTAGAATGACGCTTTAAAAAACTTTGCAATAAATATTTTGTTTTTCAGTTACTGCACAGAATATATTATCCCCGCTCTCCGGTGTCTGTGCTGCATCCGTTACCGTTAGGACAGGACACACTAAGTGTTTCGTTAGGATCCAAAAGCCCTCCAGGTCTGATGGACGGTTCTCCTTTCCTTTCAAAGCAGGTGAAGAAGATCTCATGGGCCTCAGTAGCTTTGGGGCAAGGAGGGGGAAGTTGAGGAAGAGAGGCTAATAGCCAACAGTGTTAATCTGGCAGCTGCTATATGTTAGGCACTGTGTGGAAACTGGGGATGGATGGAGACTAAGGAGACCCAGGACCTGCCTTCAAGATGCTGGCAGTGATATGGAACAGAAACGTGCAAGGTCAGGAGTGAAGAGCAGTGAGAGTGCGATCATTCAACTGGAGCCCTGCACATCTTTGTTTCCCAGGGCCACAATTATCTGCTGACTCCTGCAGCTGCAGGATCGAGCTTCATGTGGATGGTTGACATTTGAGCCCCTTCTGAGACCTGCCTTTGATACGTGCAGGTGGGAAGTCAGGGTGTGATCACAGAAGCAGAAAGACTAGGAGCACTACAGAACAGATTCCTTATCAGGATTGGACCTTTCACACTTGTGGCTGCAGGTGGAGGAAGCTGTGCAAGGCTGTTGCTCGTGCATCTGGTTTGGACCTTAAGCCTCTTTAGATCCTTCAGGCCAGCAGATTGGAAGGAAAGCTGGACTGAAATGAGAGGAAACAAGGATGAACTAGAACCCATTAGGACAACTGGAACCTGCATTTTTTTCACACCACCTCCACCCTTCACGACGCAATGACCTGTGGGAGAAGCGTGGGCCCTGTGTCATGGAGCTGCAGGAGAAGGTCCATTGGGACCTAAATGATGCTTCCTATACTGGAGTGGCTGTCGTGCCCGGCACCCCACATCAGCCTTTAGAGCATTGGATCAGCTGCTGCTTCACTTGCCGTCCAAACTCTCATGCAGATTTCTCGCGTGACCAACCTAACCCTCACCGGCAAAGGACATCCTGGAACGCAGTTCACAAAGCTGACACGGTGCAGGGCCGGCACAGGAGACGAGTCCTGGGCTGGACCATACAGGTTTTCGACATAGATGGTGAGAATTTAAATTGACATGAGAGTTTAAAAAATGATTTGAAAACTATGCAAAGAAACTTAAAACATTTTATACTGCTTTCCCAATTAAATGAACTATTAGAAATCTAAATTAAGGAAATCAGTCTAAATAAAGAAAAACACAGCAGTTTTATCAGTGTCTAGTAACAGAGGAACAGTTACACAAATAAATAATTCAATCCACTGAATAAAATAATGTCAATTCATTGAAAACATTTTACAGAGTACAGTGATATGAAAAAAAGGCCTGGCACAGTGTAAAGTCACACAGACAATTTCATATGCAGTATGAACACAGCTGTATAGAAAAGAAACTTTACATAAAAAGAGAAAGGGATGGCTGGTTCCAAAACAATAGTAGCAGATGCTTAAACCTGTTTCTCTATGAACACACTCCAAAATCCTCCGGAGCTCAGCCCATCCAGCCAAGGGGCTCCCCAGCCTCATGCCTGCAGCAGGACAGGGCAGAACACGAGGGACCCCACAAAATAGTGAGGATGGGAACAGACGCTCATGTCCTGGAGCCACCCCAGAGCCCGCTCGGAGCACGGCAGACTGTGCCCCGGAAAGAGGAGTGGGGAGCATGTGCCTGTGGTCATGGACCCCAGAAAGAGAAGCCCCACCCGAGTGGGAAGATTCTCAGGACGGGGTGAGGAATGGAGGACAGAGTACCAGCCACTGGAGAAGCCAAAGGAAGCAGCTTAGGAACGTGTGGGAGAAAAGTGCCAGAGAGAGGGCTGGCTCAGGAGGAGGCATGTAGGCAGGGAGAAATGAGGGGATGGGGTTTGTTGTGGAAGGAAAACAAACAAATGATAGAAATTTGTTAAAAACCAGGAGCTACAGCAAACCCTGCACCTGCACTCCCCCCAAAAATATCATGGAGTAAAGGGAATGTACCTCATTACACATTGAGAAGCAGGTGCTCTTGAACTAAGAACCCGAAGAGGCCCCAATCCCTTCATCCCTGCCTCGTGCAATCCCCACGCGTGCCAAATCAGTAAAGTAAGACACGGAGAGTTGAATAGAAAAGAGTGGACAACAGCCATGAAAGTGCGTTCTCTCCAGATCAAAACACACATGGCAGAATAAAACCATGATACAAGAGTCCTGCTGAGTGAATTATTCTTAAACAAGTATTTGATGAGGCAAGAAAACACACTGAGTCAGAATTTCCAAAACTCAGAACAGAAATGGATAAAAACCTGGAAGTATGTGAAATGAGAATGGACTTACCACAGGAATAAAATTGAAGCAAAGACAAACTCCTAAAGATAGAGACAAAAATCACAAAGTGCCCAAGAGAGAGAACACATTTGGTTGAAAATATAGTAAGGGGTAATGAGCAAAGTCTTGAAAACTGACAAGAAAATGAATGAAAATAAAGAGATAAAAAGGATCAGAGAAAATGTGATAGACATAAAAGATGAGCAAAAGAAATGCAAAAAATGTCTAATTGGAGTTCTGGAAGATGATCAATGAAATAAAGGCAACAGAATTAGCATTTAAGCTCTGTTCCAAAGAAAGCTTCCCGAAATACAAGGCCCAGGGAGAGGACCACTGTGCCCCCAGAAAACTGACCTGCACAGCTGACTCCAAGGTATGTCTTTGTCCATCTCTTAGACATTGAGGATGAAACAAACCAAAACAGAAAACGTCTCAGAACCTCCAGGCAAGAGGACCAAGGATCTTAAAAGTAAAAATAATTCAGGCGGCATCGGAGGCCTTGACAGCAAGGCAAGAGCAGATGCTCATCTTTGAGACACACCATGAGGGCCGTGTGAGCTGAGGGTGTTACATCCAGTCAGGTCCACAGGATCATAGTTATGATGAACAAGAACTTAGGAAAAGCAGTGCTCACCCGTCCTTCGGAGGAATCTGTCAACTGAGAAATAACCGGGGACGTCAGCCAGGGCACCGGTGGAGAGCATTGATCACATGCGACTGTAGACCTAAAACTAGAGGAAAAACGAGACGAGCGTAAAACGGTAGTACGTGAGTGTTATACGTTCTGAAAAGAAAGAGAAGTGTTACAAATGAAAGGAGACGAGAGACAGAAAACGCGACAGCGAGACAGACTCGTGGACTGTTATCTCAGTGGGAAGTGGGAGCCAAAGGACGTCACTTTTGACCAACCCACCAGAGAGTGGAGACCTGTGTGAGGCAAAGGGGACTGTGGGCATTAAAGAGGATATTGGCACAAATGAAAACACAGACTGTTCTAAATACTCAAATAAGCATATTTTAAATGAAAAAGAAAACTCACCATATACAGAAAGAAACCAGTAAAGACGTCATCAAATACCCTTCGTATTTCAAAGATACCGTCAGGCATGTCAGTCATTCCAACAAATGGAACTGGGATTATGTCACCTCCTCAAAGAAGATTGTCCAATTGGCCACAAGAAAAAATCCAGCTCCGTGCAATGCACAAATGATGCACTTAAAGTGATTCGGAAAGGATAAAGTAATAATAGTAATAATAATTAATAATCAAATACCAACAATAGTGTAGCAGGCAAATGGAAATAAACAGGGAAGCAGGACTCGGGATCCTGATCTTTCACAAGGTAGAATTCAGGCCCCCAAATCAGACAACACAAAGGAGAACATTCTGGAATATGAAGGCCACGACTCAAAATGGAGAGGCAACACTTAAGAATACGTATACCAAATATATATACCAAAGAGCATAGCGACCATCTTCATAAAGAAAAGTCTATAGGAGATGTAAAGACAGATAGAAACAATTCACAGAGGAGGATTTGATATATTATTCTTAGTCTAAGACTGGTCAAGTGGATAAAAAGCAAGTAAAAATGAACACCGATGTGATCCGTAAGGCAGAGTTCATGAAGATACATCAAAATTTACAATGTAATAATAGAGAACACATCACCTTCTTAGTCACATATGGAACATTCATAAAAATTCACCACGTTAGGTCACAAAGGAAGTGCCAAGCAGTTCCTTAAAGTGAAAGTAATGTACATTACAGTCACTGATCACAGCGCAATAAAACTAGCGACGACTGATGCACTTGTTAAACAGATGCTTCTTTCTGGATATTTTTAAGTTCTCTATGAAACAGTACTTTGGGGAAAGGAAATGCAATCCAAACTTGAGGAACTTCTGAGAACTAAAGATAATGAAACCACAACATATCAGAACCCGTAGAATACAATGAAAACAGTGATCAGAAGAACATTCATAGTCTCAGATGTGAATAAAAAGAAAAGAACAAAAATAAAAGAAATCCCCAGCTTAAAATGCTGGAAATAGAATAATGAAGTTCACCAAAAGAAGAAAATGATAAAGATCAAAGCGCAAATCAATGAAGTGGAAAAACAAAATTTTAGAATTTATAAATAAAATGCTAGTTCTTTGAAAAAAAGTAATAGGTAAACCAAACAGATAATCTAATCTTAAAAAGTGAGAAAGTAAAAATGTGCAAAGGCAGAGAGAGAGGCTGGCGTAGCTGCCACAGCAGATTGTTCTCAAAGAGCTTGACGCAGGCGCAGAGGTGCGGACTCCTGGTCCTTCTCCATTTCCGCAAAGCTACGGAGCCTGGTCCTCCCCATCCTGTTTTGTAGGCCCTTTAGCAGAAACAGAATGAGATGCTCTGGTCACTTGAGTTAAGCTGCTGTTTTGCTCTTCTGGTGCCAGACTGTTGAGACTAAACCGGCCGGAAGTGGAGCTACCGACAGCCTCGCATCCACCCTTCCTCTCCCTCAGCCCCGGGCGGTGGACGCAGGTGCATGGCTCCCCGTCGTCAGCATTGCCGGGCTCTTGCCTCAGATGCAGCATGTGCTCGGCATCCTGCACAGCCCTCCAGACTGATTTACACACTTACACGAGCCTCATGGCGCACAGAAGATAATGCATCTCAGCAAGCGCATGTAGCCTCGTCTTCCTGCACTCCAGAATAGACAAGAAAATATAATTTCTAGACTTTGATGAGAGGCTGGATGAGGATGCTCATGGCACATTTTGCTTTTCACGACTCCTTTTTTAAAGCTTACAATATTTTTGAGGCTTTGACCTCCATCGAATATATGGAAATAACATATGCACCAAGTGTGGTCACATATGTTGCAAGATTGCTTGGTGAAGTCCCTTTAACGTTTCACTGAATTTTGTGGAATCATAGAAACAGGCACTGCAATTATAACTAGTTGCTTGGTAACTCATTGAAATCATGTTCCTACGAGAAAGCAATTAACCCGCTTCGATAAAAACACCATCCACACAGTTTGAGGTGTGCTGTGTTCTGTCTGTACTTCTGGTCACAAGAGTGCATGGAGCACCCAGAGGGAAGTGAGGGGGTATGTGGAGGAGCAACAGACCAGAAGACCAGAAATCAGGGGCGAGCGTCTGACCCCGGATCCACCTGTGCTTGGCCAGGGGATTCTAGTAACTCGCCTCAGCTCTCTGGACCTCAATTCTCCAGTTACGAAGAAGGGGTGTCTAACCAGATTTTCTCTGTGAATGTTTCCAGTGCTAATAGTCTATGTGGCTTCAAATCTCACAGCCAGGAAGGATCAGAGTAAAAGCTGTTCATTGACTTGAATAAAATGTCCTGTTTTGTGGTGCCAAGCCCTGAGCAGACAGGCTGGTCTAGAGCCAAGCTTCGGGCTGGGTGGCTGGTCACATGCAGAGTGTGCCCGAGGACTTCAGATCTTTCTGAACTTTCAGAGACTCAGCGCTCACCGGGGTGACAATTCATCACTGTTTGCCCAGGACCCACCTGGTTTCAGCACTGATGGCCCTGTGTCTCAGCAAACCCCATAGTCCCAGGCAAACCAGGACCTTGGTGACCGAGAGCCGCCCTAGGGCAGACGTGGGTGCCCAGAGTGAGTTCCAAGCTCTGTGGACATCAGTGAGCCCTATTGTGCACCGAGCCCCTGGAGGTGGAAATGTGCATGGTCACAGCCCTGGGGGCTCGTAGTCTGGGGCCATCCTTACACTCCTGGACCCCTTCAGAAGCTCCTCTGGTGAAGGGAGGGACAGGCCAAGTGGGGCCATGGACTGTCACCGTGATTGCGATTGGGATTGCATTGTCATTTAATTCAAAACAGCTAGAAAACCATGAGAATGGGTAATCCCTGCTTGTTCTGCCTTTCACATATATCCCGACATTGTATTTTCACTGCAATCACTCAGGTACAAGCCAGCTTCCTCCCTCCTGGACTGTCCCACACAACCTTCTACTGCTAAGCCCCCCACTGCTTTCTGTCCTCACTACAATGCATTCTCACAGGCAGGTGGAGTCGCTGTCACAGGTGGTAGTCCCTGAGCCGCTTGCGCAGGAGTGCTTGTGGGATGAGCTCTGCGGAGGGGACACCGAAAGGAGCAGGCCTGAACAGAAGGACAAGATGGGCTGCAAGGAAGCCCAACAGAAGCTCCCGCCCACCCTTTGGGAGCTCTTCAGGGATGCTGGACCCTCAGAGGCGGCCTGACGGGGTAGGCTGGGCCTGTGCGCCTCCAGTGGTCAGTCACTGGATGGGTCTGTCCTGGAAGGAGATGTGACCTTGGGCAAGGCAGCTTTCTTCAGCCCAGGCCATCCCTAAGTAGGGCTGACAGCTGAGAGGCATCTTTGGAAGGACTTCCAGCAGCTAGGGGACTTAGTCCTTGATTCCTGAAGGGGGACCTGAGAGGCGCACCACAGCATCCCCTACAGTAATCTCCTCAAAGCCTGAATCAGATCCTCCAACTTCATACCACAGCCCACAACGCCCCAAATGCCCAATGCCCGCCCGACACTGTGCCTGCATCACATTCACCTCAGCCCTTTATTCTCTAGGCTGTGGCCACATTGTTCCCATCTGGGAAAATGCTGAACCCATTGCTGCAGTAGGGTGCTTGCTGTTCCTGTGCCAGAAACACTGTCCCCCATATGTGTGCACGATTGGCCCCTTCTGCTCAACTCAGACGACTCCCCAGAGAGCTCCCCAAGCACCCCGCCTGGAGTGGTCTCCCCACACCCACCCCACGCCTGCCCCTGCACCACCATGCTCGGCACACTCAGCCGTAGCGGAAGTTACTTTGAGTTTATCACAAATATAGCGGGGTTCTGTTTGGGGTTTGCTCTCCTCACGCTGGCAGGGGGCGTTTCTGTCTGTTTCAGCGTGGCGTCCGCAGCAGCTCCCTCCGGGCCGGGCTCTCTATCAATACCAGTGGAATGAATAAGTTTGCTTAGTCACTTCTCCAATTGGAAAGTTTCTTTGCAAAGACTGTTAAATCGATCACAATTCCTCCGCCAGGAGCACCTGCTGCGAGGGCTGGACTAGTGGGAATCCCCCGGTGAAGTTGTCTGGACCCTATTCCAGGGCACCCTGTTTGTCACCAAGGCCTGGACCCGTTCAGTCTACACTAGTTCCTGCAGGAATAAGAATTGGAAATAACGTTTTAATTGAGAAGAGCCTAAACACCACCAGGATAATCAAAGCACCACGAATCACATGATGCCTTCATCGTTTACAAGCTCTTTTAGGAACATTGCCCCACAGCGCTCAGAACAAAGCTCTCAGGCGGGGGTTATTCAGTCATTTGCAAGTGCAGGGACGGGAGGTCACATAGCTGGAACCTGGTCTACAGGAGCTCAGAGCCGAGGGTCCACCTTCAGGTTCACGGTGCTGTGACCTACACTTGGTGGGAATTATACTCAGGTTTATTAATGGTTAAAGTAACTTTATACACCTAATAATGGGATCTTCTTAGTGAGCAAGCCCTCCTTATGAGGAGGGAACGGTTTCAAACACTCCAACCCTGCTGCGTGGCTCGGGCCAGGTCTCCCTCTTGGGTCTGATTCCCTCCTCGGGCTTCAGGCTTGTCTTTGCCAGGCAGTCTGCTCTCCCTGTAGGCGTGCGTCTGAGGCCACCCACCAGCTGCAGGGCCTGGGACACCTCTGCACTCCAGACGAGCCACGCCGCCAATGCTCAACTCTTCTCTTGAAATCACTCTTCTTCCCACGGTGGCCCGTGGTATCCTCTTGCTTTGCCTGCCAGCTCTTCCAAATTTGCCCGCAGCCACTTTCTGCCATTTCTTTCATATTTTCATTTCTTCATCTTTCTTCTTTGAGTTGTGGCTGAATATCTCAAGACTGTCTTCTACAGTTTTACCCACATCTAGTTTGCCATTCCTTGCTTTGGTTTTGGTTTTCAGTGGCACATTGTGAATTTTAACCTTTTTTCTTAGACAGTTTCCTCTTCATGATTGCTCACTCTGTTTCTACAGATTCACTGACCTCTAAGTTTGTATTAAGAGATACATCACAAATATTCCTATGTACTTTGTTTCTTGCAGTAAATACATTTCAGAGAAAGGAGTTTCATGAATTTTCACAGTGCCGCCATCCTTGTGAATTGCAGTGTCATTAGCGGGTTCTGGTGATTTTCAAAAATTTTCTACATTGTGAATGCACACATGCAATGAATTGAGCCACATGCGTAGGTCTGCATGGCTGCCCTTCCCGTGGCTTGCCTGGAACCCCCCAGACTCTATGAGTATTGCTGAGCTTGGATAAAGGTCTTTGTGGTTGGCATCATAGGCATTCACATTCCATCTGGCTCCTCTACCTCCAGCTGAAATCCCTGGGATTCGCTACGGAAGGAAGGTGCTCTTTGACACTGCAGCTTTCATACAAGACTGCCCCAGACATGTTCATGCAACTGGTGATTTACATGAGAACTGGCATCAGGGGAGGGGGGTCCTTCAAAGACCATCCTTGGGCCACTGTCTTGCCCAGGAGTTAACACTCTTTTTCCAATCATTGAATCCACTTCCAAGGTGACTCTTACCCATTGGCTGACTATACTTAAGGACTTCATTTGGCAGCCATTGTGTCCACAAGCACCTACTATGTGCTACCTATTGTGCTCAGGGCTGAAGACCCAAAGCTGAATCAGATACAATCCCCTGGCCTTACAAGAAAGAGACATCTCTTCTAGCCTGCTCTCTCCACCAATGTTCAAAAATCCCCTTTGCTCAAGGTGACGGGTAAGGAACAAAATAGCCGCCCAAGGTGTAAGCGCTCCATCATGCTTTTTCATCTTCTGACTTGCCCCTGTGCCTGGTCACACTGTACAGTAGTTACTTGACTGCCCGGCTGCATGTTTCTGTCACTGCAAATCGCAGCCACATCCCCAGCCTGCCCCGACACCCCTCCATCAGCTGATGGCCCTACTTATGGATGCTCACTAATGACATTCTCTCACAATGGAAATCAGATTAACAGACTGTGGGAAATGACTTGTCATCACATTTCCTCTTTGTTTTAACAGTGAAAATCAAATACTCTTCTCAACAGAGTAAAATCTGGAAAGTGAGACTATCGGAGTTTGTGTAAATTCAAGGAAGGTGAGGGTTCCTTTGGTCTCCTCTCCTTTGCCTATATTGCCCATGGATAGGAGATGTTGCATCAGGATTTTGAGGCATTAAAAACTCTGACTCAACTCCTTTCACATGGAGAGGCCATGAATTTTGACTGCATGGGATTCTACTGAGACTTTTTTTAATGTGAGAATATTCTTGGCAGTAACTTGTTTCATCCAGATATTTGGAGAATAGAAGCCTACATCAGAGACACATTGGTAAGATATTATGCTTTGAGAAGTTATCCAATAAATAGTAGGCATTATCAACCCAATACTTCCTTTCAACAATGCAGATAGTGAGTGAGGATTGCACAAAGGGGTCCCTGCCAAGAGGGAGGAATTGTAAGCCTAGGTCCCAGGAGGGAATGGTCCACATTTCTCATCCATTCCTGGGTCATGTGTGGGAGATGTGGCAGTTTGGGAGGGCAGTTGATAAGTATGCATGTCATGGAAGATCAACTCTCTGTCTCAGAGGAACTAGGTCCCTCCAGGTCCAAAGGTTGGTGAAGCAGGAGAAGAACACAGCAGGATCTGGGCAAGGAATCTGGCACAGGTAACATTCTTTGTGTTATTGGAGTGGGTCCCACACAGCATGGATCTAGGTGGTGAACATGGCATAGTAGCATCCATTGTGTTACTGGAGCTGGTCCCACGCAGCACAGATCTGGGTGGGGAACACGGCAGAGTAGCATTCACTGTGTTATTGGAGCTGGTCCCACACAGCATGGATCTGAGTGGGGAGCACGGCACAGTATCATCCACTGTGTTATTGGAGGTGGTCCCACACAGCATGGATCTAGGTGGGGAACATGGCACAGTAGCATCTATTGTGTTACTGGAGCTGGTCCTTGAGTTTCCTCCCCCGAGTCCTCCATGCTTGTATCCTGGCTTTGTCAGGATATTTGAACAAAAACATTTTCCTGCTGCTGATTCTTTTCAATCAAAAGCACTTTAAGAAACTTCGTCAAATACCAAGTGAATTTCTGAGGAATGCCAGAAGTGATATATTCGACCAGGTACACACCAGTGACTTTATTCATGGGAAATTACAAGAGAGAGAAGAGGAGGCCCTCTCCCAGCCCCACCCCTACCTCGAAGATGAGTGAAGATGCGGTTAGTTCATGCCTCCAACCTTGCATGGCTTTTGTTTCTACACTGTGGTTTGTTTTTAATAACTTTATTTTACTTTATCTTATGGGGAAGGAGTTGCTATAAACTATTGCCACAATTTCTCCTTAATAAAAGCAAATAAGTGATAGTTATTAACACCCATGCCATGTGGAACCGTGGGACAGGAGGAGCCACACAGTCTATGACCTCGTCCTCACTGAGCTTCTAACACTGCAGCGGTGAAACTAGACCCTCATATTTTGCTTCTCTCTCTCATTCCTCAGCTTACGTATTCTACGCTCCAGTCACTGTGATAGGTGTTGGGTGGAGTTAGGGAGCAAAAGTTGGCCCTTGCTCTTCATCCTAGTGTGGGAAATAACAAACAAAACAAAACAAAAGCTGAAAAGCTGAGCTGTGTTGAGTGTCTACTCAATGTTCTGAGGCGCCTAAAGGGCAGTCCTCTTCTGAAAGAAGGGGAGACACTGTCTGAAAGTGACTTTGTGCTGATGCCAAAACACCTTACAGAGCTGCCCCCATGAGGGCCCCCAAGCCCTGAGAACCAACCTCACTGTGACCATTTTACAAAGGGAGAGATGGAGGCTCAGAGAGGTGCAGAGAAGTCATTGGACTCATAGGTGTGAGAGCTGAGATTTAAAACTTAGTCTCCCTGACGTGAAAATCTACACCCTTCTCCCCTACCCACTGCAGGAATGAGGAGGTGGAAAACAACATGGTAAAGAAGAAACAGGAGCCAAAGATGAGCAACCGAGGTAACTGGGGAACACCCAAACTTGGTGTGTGGGACCAGTTCCAGTAACACAATAAATGTTACCTGTGCCAGATTCCTTGCCCCTCCAAATGAGCTTTGTCCTGCTGACCTGGCAGAATTACATGTGCAGAGATTCGCAAAATTTGAAGAGGTGCCTAGCAGAAGATGCAAGAACACTCAAAATGGCAAGAGCTGATACACTGAAAAAGGGAAGATGAGCCCTGCCAAACGCAGTCAGCTGTGTGAGGCTGGCGTCCACTCTGGGTACCACTCGATGACGAATTTTTAGAATGTATGAATTGTAATGCCTTATAAAAAGGGATAAAATGAGTTCACTAAATACAAGTCAAACCAGAAGTAGCTTTTATCTTTGAGGAAACAGTCGCCAAAACCCTGGATCCCCAACTGGGACATGGGACTCCATGCATACTGATAGGCATGAATCCTCTGGAATGACCAGAATTTTTCCCTCTGAAGAACAAATCAAGGGACCAAGGATGTAGAGTTAGGAAAGAGACAATGAGGAAGCTTGAGGATCTAATTTCAAATACCTAAACAGCTGCCATCTGGAAAAGACATCAATGTATTTTTCAGAGCCCATTGACCAATCAGTGGAAATCACAGGAAAAAAATATCCACCTAATTCAGGAACTAGTTTTCTAGCAAACAGCAGTTGTTTCTTGCTAAGAAGAAGATTTCTGATATCATACAAGATCAAGGGAAGGATTAAAGATCGTTGCTTGTCAAGGATGCTTTCAAGAGAACCAAATATTTGATGGGATGTTGGCGTAAATAATCTTGAAAAGTCCTTCCAAAATGAGATCTCAGATAAAGAGAAATTAATTTTTTAAAAGTGCAGAATTTCACAAGCCAGCATCCAAAGAGTTACCCAATGTGAGGGGACCATGAGAATAATCCTGGGCTTTGAGGCGGAAGAGGTCCAAGACCCTTCCCTTCAGAGAGGGAGCATCAGAGGGACTTTACGGGTGAGAACTCACTTGAGCGAATGGCCCGGGGGCCCAGCAAACACACACTGGACCCCAACTGCTGCCCTCGCATCTGCTGGGTAGCTGCCAGCAGACTTCCTCCTAATCCAGGTCTGCTTTTGTCTCTGTGTGATGGAGATGCTGACAGTGAAAGAATCTGTCTCGTGGATGTAAAGAGCAGCAGAGCATCTGGTGATTAGTAAGCTCTTAAATCTTATGTTTCTCTGGCACAGACATGAAGAGCACTGAGGGTTCAGATGAGATGGGCTGAAAAAGAATGCAAGGAGTAGAGGTGACTGGAGCCGTCAGGATTGCAGGGAACGCAGAGGAAAGGCAATGGGCATGGGAGGGGAGCGGGGTACCTGCTGCTGCTCACGGAAGCACAGGGCTCATGGCCTGAGGCCAGGGGCCTGTGTTTGAATCCATTCAACTTCTTCTAGCAACTCCTGGCACTCACAGACCTGAGCCTGCCCAGTGAGAAGTGCAAGACCGAGCCCAGAACAGTTGTCCAGAAAGAGCAGCACCCCTGGGACAGTCACGATGGTGGCTTCTTGTTGTCCCCAGATCTGCTGGTGTTTGGACCCACTTTCATTCAGATAGACGGTGAAAGCTCCTCCCTGGACTTGCTCCCCCCACCCAGGCCATGCTGTCAGATCTGAGCATCTACTTATCTCTGCCCAGCTGCTCCCAGAACCTTCGAGACACACCATGCCACCTTCACCCCTGCCTCACGCTGGAGAACTTTCCCCACTACACTGCTCCCTGGGCTGCACAGGCATGGCTGATGGTAGCTGAAGGTGACCTTGGACATTGCTGGGAAAGGCAAGGCCCTGTCATTGCACATCTACAGGGTGAGACTAGATTCCTACAAAAGTGACAGTTGAGTTAGGTCAACATGTTGTTGACGTGAAAAGCTCTCCCCTCACCTCCCCCAGTTAGTCTTCTTTGGACCTTAGGAATGTGGCAATCCCTCCGTTCTTGACTCTCTAGGCCCTTCTGGATTTTGGATGTTTGCAGAAATGCTAAATCTTATGATGTCTTGAATCTTGGTCCTTACTTTTTTTACGTTGAGAAACCACATTTATTCATCTATTCATTCATCCACTTATCTCTCTCCCTTACTGTTTTTCAAAGGCATTTTACACCTGCCGTACTCAATATTTCATTTACTTGTCCTTTCAGCTGTGCGTAAGCCTCCCACAGGCAGGGTCTCTGTTGCTTTGTCAATTGTGGTCTCCCTAGTGCCAAGAACAGGGACTTGGCACACGGTGCATACTCAATGAACAGGTGAATAATGGATAAATTCAAAAGCAAAGTGCATAGAAGCATGTATCATATACTACCAGCTGCATAAATAGAGGGTGATATTTTAGTATTTTCGTACATATGCAGATACCTCTGGAAGCATCCTGGGGAAGCAACAGCAGGGGGTGTTTGGGGTGGGGATGCTGAGCGGGAGACCTGGTCATCAGACAAGGGGTGGCAAGGAAATTCTCACTGTGTGCCCTTCTGAGCTTTGATTTTTGGACCATACGAGTCTATTTCCTAATCATAAAATTAAATATATTTTTAAAGGAAAAAACAAAGCTTGTTTGGGGGAAAATAAGTGGTTACTGATTAATGAACTCTCAGTTGCTTGACTCTAGAACATTCTGCAATGATAGTGCCACTGGCTGTTATCCTTAATGGCCCTGCTTCTATCAACAAATAGCCTATTAACTTTTTGAGGACACAGAGCAGGCCCAGAATCTATTTCCCACAGGGCTTAGCATCAAGCCCAGGCTTCTGAAGCATTTGTGCTGGTAGTCATTATGAGGGCACAAAACCAATTTGTGAGAAACAGTTGATGGCATCTTACCAGAAAGTCCCTCTCGGGTTCCGAGCCACAGAATAGCACTTTGGGCAGCAGGGCAGCTGCTCCAGGACAAGCCCACACATAGGGAGCCGGTGGTGCTCTGGCTCGCCACCCAGGGGCATCACATTGCCTTCTTGGGCAGTGACGCAGCTAGCTATAACCCGAGGAATCCACAGAATCTACTGTAACATAATTCCAGGGACTTTAAGGGGCTATCCGTCATAACCTCCAAATAAAACCAAACCTGGATCAAAATTTATTTCATGTCAAAATTTTATCATAGTTATAAACTCTATCAAGGCTTGAAAGTGCTGTGACATTCAATTTATCCACACTGCAAGATGGAACGCCCAGGAGGGAATGAGTTACATTGGTTGGTTTTATTTTATCACCAGTATACTGAGAAATTAAATAGCCCTGTTTCCTAAATATGCCAGAATACACATTTAATTTTGTCCTCCCGCTTGAGCCCACCAATGCAGTGAACTTAAATATTTTTTCCAGAGCATTTTGAGTCATTATTCAATGGCCTGAACTTTTCTTCATTTGAATGTTATTTTTGACCTGAATCAAAATTAAGGGGGTCCTGATAAGCTGTCTAGCCTTAGGGTTCTCACCCACGGCTGCATATGGGAACTTTAAAACCCTGATGGCTGGCTCCTTACTCCTGAGCAACAGGAAACAAACCTTTGTGATGGGCACCAAGCATGGGGATTTTAAAACAACTTCCTAAGTGATTCTGTTGCACAGAGAGTTTACCACAACCATGGACCTAAACCAGTACTTCTTGCAAAGAAAATGGGCATACCAGTTACCTGGGGATCCAGTTAAAGTGCACATTCCGGTCAGTAAGTCCAGGTGGGCCTGAGAGTCTGCATTTCTCAGAAGCCCCAGGTGAGGCCAATGGTGCCAGTCCAGCAAGACCCGCCGAGTAGCAAGAGAGTCTCTCCTCACCATTAGGGTCTTGTCGCGTGGAGGCCCTGCAGCCACACAGGACCTGCCCTGGGCTACAGCAAGTTCTGGTTGAAGTCCTCTTCTCTCCCCACAGCTATGACGTCCCTGTAGAGACTCTGAGGTTGAGATGGTGACTCTGCCATGCCGTCAGGTCCCTACATGAGCATGTGTATTTCAGCGACTTTGGGATCTTGTATATAAGCCAATACACACCAGCTGGGAAATCTCAGAGGAAGAGGTTGGAAAAAATACGTAATGATGGATACGTTCCTGAATCGTGCTGGACAAATGAACACCCCCACCCTCAGCTTCCCGGCCAGCACCAGGTTTTTTACTAGGCCTGTCACACCCTCAGAGAGTACTCACTCTGGGGTAATGAGTAGCTGGGTGGTCAGCCTGATTACTTGATATGAAAATCACGTCTTAGAAGGCTTCGGCCGACACATACTTACAGTCTACTCAACAGCTCAGTGGTCCTGACACAAGCAGTAGCTGTGAAGCCAGCTAAACTGTTTATGCAAAGACAAGATCCGTTGGATACTGTCATACGGGGGAAGACAGCATGATTTCCAGTCTTGTCATAGCTTGCAATCTTGGCAGCTTGCAATCTTGGCCATCTTCACCAAGTATTTGAGAAACCAGAGAGCACTTAATTAAATAATCTCGAGAACTTATCAGCAAAATGGAGGGAGAATCAGGTCAGAACCGAAAGTGTACTAGCCACCTTCTCTATGGCAGCATGAGTGAGACAGCTGTGGATGGTGGTGTTGGAGCGGAGGGGAGGGAGCCCAGCACATAAGCCACAAGCCACAGCTCCCACCTGGTCCTCCCCTGCTGGTGATCAGCTGCCAGCCATAGCTCAGGGTGGCCCTCCCCCCAGCTTGAACCTCCAGGGGCTTCGTGAGACATGCAGCCTTTCAGTATAATATAAAAGTCACAAAACAGGCTCCCTCCTACAAGAACCCTTGTCTGGCTAGCACATATCCTCAGCGTAAGTTGCCAGGGCAGATGTATAGATGTCGAAGATGAGATCTTCAAAGGAGTGCCAAACATTAGAAGAGCTCATTATTTTTTCATAGAAAATGTTCATCTCTTATTTCAGTTGTCAAGTGATTAAAGCAATAAAAATAAAATTAATAATGATATTAAAACAAAACTCTTACCTACATTCCCGACACGACCATCTGAAAAGGGTATAATTTCAGCTCTCTGTCTTCTTGAGCAGTGACCTGGAGGGCAGTGGCCTGTTATCCTCTCTGTTTCTACAAGCCTGGGGCTCGCATATGGTCTGGAATCAGAGCTGAAATGGACGGAGAGGCTTCCACCTTCTTCTGGAGAAAAGGGGGGCATTTCACAAGGGCAGTGGCAGAAAAGGGTCACGGGAGATGATGAGCTTTATCTAGGCGTAGAAAGGGTAAACTCATTCCTAATAGGAGCTTCCACCAACTGGGGGCTCTCATCATGAGGAAGAATCTAAGACTGTTGACACATGGTAGGTCTTCAGTTAATGTTTGGGGCAAAATAAAGGGGTAATTATCATCTTCTGGAAAATAATTTCAAATGTGAACCATGAGCTTTTGATCAAAGAAGTCTATCCAAAGGGAAGAGAAATTCCCAAAAGAGAATGCATTTGATTCATCAAGATGTTGACTAGAGTCTTATGAAGCTAAGAATTGAAAATAAATATCTGACAACATATCATGGAAAACACATTCAGTGAAAAATGTGTGGTCTTTAATAATGTTGTTTATTCGATGTTTTTATCTTCTGTTGATGGGACTGTAAACTGTGAAAAAATATTCAGGTATATAATTTGGCAACTAGCATCAAAGAGCTTAAAATATGTTCAAAATAATTTCACTCAGGAATTGATCCTAAACATATAATCAGACAAGGACTTAAGACAATATGTGAAAGTATGCTGATGGAAGAATCACTTACAATTGTCATTTTTGGTAGAAATTGACATGTGGGATGGATGAGAGGAGCGGTAAGTGTGATGGTGAAATTAGGGGCTCTGGAGGCAGACAGTACACTGACTAGTTGCGTGACCTGGTCAGGCAATGTAATGGCTCTGTGCTTCCTTTTCTTCATCCATACTGTGGGGTTAATAACAGTACCTACTTTGCAGTACTGTTAGTAGATTTAACGAAGTCACGAATAGAAAGTGATTAGCACATACTTGCCTTAGGGGAGACGTATGACAGGTTTCTCCTCACCCATACAAGACGGGCAGGTGGTGAGCTCACTGCTTATTCGGAAGGAGAATGCACCTTGCTCAGGGAATCCAGCAGGATACAGGACAGGTGAACCAGCTTCTCAGCTTATTCCAAGGCAGACACCAGCCTTATACTTTGCAACCAGTACCTCAGTTAATCTTCGTGACTATTCCTTTCTTTGACTCCATTTCCAGATGAAGACTCTGAGACCAACAGAGGTTAAATAACTGCCCAAGTTTACATAGACGATGATTAGAGCTGGGATTTGAATCCAGTTCAGGTTGCATTCATTCAATAAGTATTTATTGAAAAACTACTTTGCACTAAAGAATGTTATAAGCACTTAAGAAGCATCGTGCTAGAATGCTTATCCCTATCAGGATAAGAAAATCAACAACAAATATATTAAATATGCAAATTATAAAGCATGTTAGAAGGTGATAAATCCTGTGGAGGAAAAATATCAAAACAGAACAGGAGAGAGGTTAAGTTAAGGGCATGAGGGTAGACTTCAATGAGAAGTTGACATTTGAAAAAAATGTGAGTGTGATAATGAAGTTAGCCAAGCAAATCCAAAGGGGAAGGTCATCCAGGCAGAGTGGATGCCCAGAGCACAGGCCAAAGCAGGAGGGAGGCTGGTGCATCTGAAAAGGCAGGAGGTCAGCGGGGCTGGAGCTGCATGAGAAGTGAGGACAGCAGTGCAGGTGACAGCGGAGAAGTAACAGATGGCTAGTTCGTGGAGGACCTTGTAGGTATTTGGGGCTTGACTTTCACTCTGAGTGAAGTGAGGAGCTATTACAGGGCTTTGAACATCTTAGTGGCATGATTTGACTTTTGTCAAAAATCATTCTGGCTCTTGTGCAGAGAATATATTATGGATTGGCAAGGGGTAGCAATAGATGTAGTAAGAAATGACAGCTTTTTCACATATCTTGAAGGTAGAGCAAGTATAATTTGCTGATGGATTAGATATGGTGTGGGAGAAAGCAAAGAATTGAAAACTGTTGCCAGGGTTTTGCCAAAGCAAGTGGAGGGATGAGATGGGAAGACCATCTGGACCACTGCGGAGCAGATGGGAGCTTGTCTGGCTGCGTTGAGTTTGTAATGTCTATGAGACACCCAAGTGGAAATGTCAAGCAGGACTGTGCCCATATGCACTCTGACCTCATGAGGTCAGGGAGAAGAGGAGAAACCAGCAAAGGATACTGGGAGTAAGGAGCCCTGAGGCAGAGGGAAAATCCAAGCTGAAAGAAAAGGCAGAATTAGATATGATGCAAAGCCAGGAGTCTTGTCTGTGCTATGGCATTATCTGCCCAGCTCTACTCAACCCGAACCATGGTTCTCTGTCAGACTGGACAATTTGCTCACCCAGACGCCACAGGGACAACACAAAGTGGGGCAACAAGCAGTGAGGCACTATGTCTACTGGAGTAATGCAACATTAAGGTTTCTTGAGTAATTGTAAAATCAAACATCTCAGTTGAGGGTAATTTGAGATGTATTATGATTTCCTCCTTTACAGGGAGAAAAAAGGAATCTTCAAATTCTTTAGAAAAAAGTCTTGCCTGTGGCAAAGAGCATTATGTAAATGTTCACTCTGCCAGAAATTTAGATTGTTTTAGATGTGAAATGTAATTTATCAGCTTCAGTGTTTCCCATGTCCAAGACAGCAGCTTCCAACACAGTAGAGGGAAACATAGAGACAGCATTATCAAGAAAACGTGCTCATTAAGAAAACTATAAAAATGAATAAGTAAATAGCTGTCATTAGCTACAAATCTCTCTACCCTGTTCCCCAGCACAGGAGATGCATTTAGGTGTTGTAAGTAGGTTGAGCCAAAATAAAATTAGTTTGTCAATGTCCATGAAATAACTTACTGGGATTTGGATTGGGATTACATTAAATCTATATCTGAAGTTGGAAGAACTGACATCTTGACAATATTGTCTTCCTATCCATGAACATGGACTATATCTTCATTTATTTAGTTCTTTGATTTTGTTCATCAGTTTTATAGTTTTCCTCATATAAATCTTGTACATATTTTCTTAGATTTACACCTAGATATTTCATTCTTCTGAGTGCTAATGTAAATGTTGTGGTTTTAATTTCAAATTTTACTTGTTCATTGTTGGTATATAGGAAAACAATTGACTCTTGTATATTAACCTTGCATCCTAAAACCTTACTATAATCACTTACTAGTTCCAGGAGCTTTTATGTCAATTCTCCCAGATTTTCTATATAGACAATCATGTCATCTGCTAATAAAGACAATTTTATGTCTAAATTCTCAGTTGTATACTTTCTAGTTCCTTTTCTTGCCTTATTGCATTATCAAAGACTTCCAGTATGATATTGAAAAGGAGTAGTGAGGAGAGAGGATATTCTTGCCTTGTACCTGATCTTAGTGGGAAAACTTCGAGATCCTCATCATTAAGTATGGTGTTAACTATAGGGTTTTTTAAAGTTATTCTTTGTAAAGCTGAGAAAATTCCCCTCTATTCCTAGTTTACTGAGAATTTTTATCATGAACGGGTTTTGGATTTTGTCAAATGCTTCTCCTGCATCTATTATCATGATCATGAGCTTTTTAATTTTTTATCTGTTGATGTGATGGATTACATTGAGTTTTGAATGTTGACCCAGCCTCTCACACCCGTAATAAATCACACTTGATCACGATGTATAATTCTTTTTATACATTGTTAGATTTGATTTGCTAATATTCGTTGAGGATTTTTGCATCTATGTTTATGAGGAATATTGGTCTGTAGTTTCCTTATAATGTCTTTGTCTGGTTGTGGTATTAGGCTAATGCTATGAGGCCAGAACAGGAAGTATTCCCTCTGCTTCTAGACTCTGAAAGATATTGTAGTGAATTGGTACAATTTCTTCCTTAAAAGTTGGTAGAATGCACCAGTGAACCCATCTGAGCCTGACGCTTTCTGTTTTGGAAGGTAATTAATTATTGATTCAATTTCTTTGCTAGATACAGGCCTATTCAGATCATGTATTTCTTCTTGTGTGAGTTTTTGGCAGATTGTGTCTTTCAAGGAATTGTTACATTTTAACTAGGTTATCAAATTTGTGGGAATAGAGTTTTTCATATTATTCCTGTATTATCCTTTACTGTCCCGGGGCTCTATAGCATTTGCCCTCTTTCATTTCTGATATTAGTAATTTGTGACCTTTGTGTCTTTTTTCCCTAGTTAGTCTGGCTAGAGGCTTATTGATTTTATTGATCTCTTCCAAGAACCAGCTTTTGGTTTTGTTGATTTTCTCTACTGATTTCCTATTTTCATTTTCATTGATTTCTGCTGTAATTCTTATTTATTTTATTCTGCTTACTTTGGATTTAATTTGCTCTTCTTTTTCTAGTTTCCAAGGGGAAAAACTTAGATTATTGATTTTAGATCTCTCTTCTTTTCTGATATGTACATCCAATGCGATAAATTTCCCTCTGAGCACTGCTTTCACTGTATCCCACACATTTTGATAAATTGTTTTTGTATTTTCATTTGTCAAAATATTTTTAAAGTTTCTTTTGAGATTTTTTTATTTGACCTATGTGTTATTTAGAAGTATGCTGTTTAATCTTCACGTATTTGGGGATTTTCCAGCTGTCTTTCCATTATAGATTTCTAGTTTAATTCTATTGTAATCTAAGGGCAGACTTTGTATGACTTCTTTCAAATTTGTTAAGATGTGTCTTCTGGTCTAGAATATGGTCTATCTTGGTAAATGTTCCATGTGATCTTAAGAAAAATGTTAAGTTCTGCTGTTATTGGATGAAGTAGTCTAAAGATGTCAATTATAACCATTGATTGTTGGTGCTGTTGAGCCCACATATGTGCTTACTGGTTTTCTGCATGCTGGATCTCTCCATTTCTGAGAGAGGGGTATTGAAGTCTTCAACTGTAGTGGTGGGTTACCTATTATAACAGTGGATATTATCCAACCACAATAGTGGATCTATTTCCACTTCTCTTTGCAATTCTTTCAGTTTTTGCCTCACATAGTTTGATGCTCTGCTTTTAGGCACATGTGTATTAAGAATTCTTATGTCTTCTTGGAGAATTGACTCTTTTATCATTATGTAATGTCCTTCTTTATCCCTGATAACTTTCCTTACTTTGAAGTCTGCTCTATCTGAAATTAATATAGTTACTTCAGCTTTCTTTTGGTTAGTGTTAGCATGGGGTATTTTTCTTCATCCATTTACTTTTAATCTATATGTGTCTTTATATTTAAAATGCATTTTTTTGTACATCGCATATAGTTCAGTTGTGTTTTTTGATTTGCTCTGACACTCTTTGGACCCAATCTCTGTCTTTCAATTGGAGCATTTAGATATTGACATTCAAAGTGATTACTGACATAGTTGGATTAATATCTATCATATCCTTAACTGTTTTCTTTGTTGCCCTTGTTCTTTGTTTCTACTTTTCTCTTCCACTGTTTTTCTGTCTTTTATGATTTTAATTGGGCATTTTATTTGATCCTATTTTCTCTCTTTATCAGCATATCGGTTATACTTCTTTGTTTACTTTTTTTATTGGTTGCCCTAGACTTTGCAATATATATTTACAACTAACACAAGTCTACTTTCAAATAACATTATACCACTTCACAGAGTGTGTGAGTACCTTATAATAACAAAATAATCCTCATTCCCTCTTCCTGTCCCTTGTATCATTGCCGTTACTCATTTTACTCATATATAAGCACACATATATATATATGCTTATATACATTTAATGCATAAGCATATATAATCAAATACATTGTTGCTATTGTTATTTTGATAGCCTTCTTATCTGTTAGACCAATTAAGAATAAGAAAAATTAAAGTTTGATTTTACCTTCACTTATTCCTTCTTTGATGCTCTTCCTTTCTTTATGTAGATCTGGGTTTCTGAACTATATTATTTTTCTTTTCTCTAAAGAACATCTTTTGGGGGGCTGGTCCCCATGACTGAGCAGTTAAGTTTTCACGCTCAGCTTTGGCCCAGGGTTTCACCGGTTCAGATCCTGGACACAGACCTAGCACCACTCATCAAGCCATGCTGAGGTGGCATCCCACATAGCACAGCCAGAAGGACCTACAACTATGTACTGGGGTGCTTTGGGGAGAAGAAGAAAAAAATAAAATAAAATAAAAGATTGGCAGCAGATGTTCTCTCAGGTACCGATCTCTAAAAAGAAGAAAAAGAACATCTTTTAACATTTCGTGCAAGGCAGTTCTACTGGCAACAAGTCTCTCCATCTTTGTCTTAGAAAGTATTTCTCCTTCACTTTTGAAGTATAATTTCACAGGGTATAGAAGTCCAGGTTTGAGGTTTTCTCTCAATGGTTTAAATATTTCATTCCACTCTCTTCTTGCTTGTGTGATTTCAGAAGAGAAATTGGATATGATTCTTATCTTTGTTCTTCTATAGGTAAAATGATTTTATCTTCTGGTTTCCTTCATAAATTTTTTCTTTGATTTTCTGTAGTTTGAAGATGACATGCCTAGGGGTAGTTTTTTTGACATTTACCCTTCTTGGTGTTGTCTGAGCTTCTTGGATCTGTGGTTTGGTGTCTGACATTAATTTGGGGAAATTCTCAGTTATTATTGCTTCAGATACTTCTTCTGTTAATTTCTTTCTTTCTCCCCCTTTTGATATTTCCATCATGCACTTGTTAAACATTTTTAGTTATTCTACAGTCTTTGGATATTCTGTTCTGGTTTTTTGTTTTCAATCTTTGGTCTCTTTGCTATTTGTTTTTTGAGGATTCCATTGACATATGCTCTAGCTCAGAGATTCTTTCCTTAGCGGTGTTCAGTCTGCTAATACGCCCATCAAAGGCATTCTTCAATTTTGTTACAGTGTTTTTGATCTCTTTGCATTTCTCTTTGTTTTTTTTCTTAGAATTTTCATATTTCTGCTCACTTTGCCTATCAGTGACATGTTACATGCTGTTTACTTTATTCATTACAGCCCTTAGGATATTAATCTTAGTTGTTTTAAATTCCCCATCTGATAATTCCAACATCCGTGCCATGTCTGGTTCTGATGCTTGCTCTGTCTCTTTAAATTGTGTTTGTTGCCCTTTGGTATGCCTTGTAACTTTTCTCAATAGCTGGACATGATGTACTTGGTAAAAGAAACAGCTATAAACAGGCCTTTAGTGAGGTGGTGGTGATGTGTGGGAGGAGGGAAGCACTTCATGGTGCTATGGTCAGCTCTCAGTCTTTTAGTGAGCCTGTGCCCCTGGACCATGAACTTCACAAGTGTTTCTAATCCCCCCCATTAGGTGGGACAGGTTGGCTACAGTATTCTGGGGTTGGTGATCTCCCTTCCCCGGGTCAGTTTGTCTCTTGTTAACTAGTTTCGTCTGAGAGCAGACCTTGTTAAGGAGAATAGAGTGCTCTGTCACATTTCAAAAGTGTTCACTTTCCCCCTCCCCCTGCTGGCAGCCTGAGGGGATGTTCTTCAGTATGGATCATGGGGATCCAGTGGAGCTCCTGGAGGCAAATCTCACAATATTGTGGGGGTCTGTCTATGACTGTGTCCCCACGTTTTAACTCTCAGAGTTGTCTGCATTTTGCCTCCAGCAACTCATCTATTACAGTTCAGATATGTTCACATACTTTTAAATTGTTTTTCTACTATCACTGCAAATTTCTTGTCTAATAAAATTAGAAAATGCTACATATACAACTAAAATAAAGCAGAAAACATCTCTGACATGTGATCAGCTTATCTTCAAAAGGCATAGCAACATGTAGTTGCTCTTTCCAGGGAACAGAGTCCTTTGTCCAACATTAAAAGCCAGTTGGTACAGGACCAGCATCGTAACCCAGGCCTCAAGATGAGCAGATAATGAACTTCAGGCAGCATGCATTCTCCTGGGTGCAATACAGCGTGGCCAGCAAGAGGTGGAGAAGCAGCAGCTCCTCCCAGCTACTTTCAGCACTGAGGGGAGGACAGCTCCAGGGACTTTCAGATGCAGTAAACATGGAAAGGAGTGAGAGGCTCCCAGGAGGACTCCAGAGCATCGCTCACTCCCTCCTCCACTGTAGTGATCCTGGGTTTTGGGATTTTGAGGTACAATTCAGCTAAAGAGAAACAATGAGGACCCACAGATTTCTAATGTTTGTGTTAAGTCTCACTAAGTAATGACATTTAAAAATGACATGCCATTATAGAAAAACATAAATGCATTATAGGTGCACCATAAGACATGTCATCACACAACACAATTTTGTATATTGTTTTCTTGAAATAACTTTGTCAGTTTGGGGATCTATTTTGGATAGCGCAGCCAGAAGTGGATCTCAAATAGCTAATTTATCTGGTGTGTCTGGTAATTAATGTCAAAAATGCAGCATCAAGTAGGTTTGTGTACATAAATGGAACAACCTTAACCTCATAAAAGCTTTTTCACTCCCTTCAGAACGTATTGATGATCAGAGATGCTCAGGAATCATAGCACCCAGATCTCGGGTACAAAGTATAAAAAAGGGCTCTCTGCCTTCCCGCTCCCCTATCCCTTATAGGGATGAAGACAAGACAGGATCAGCATGTTGCAAATCCAGCTGGCGAGCGTTCTAGAAAGGAGACAGCAGGATACACATTGCTTAGATTTTCCCTCTCACTGAGGGCTGCTCAACCCTGGCCCCTGGTTATGTTAGACAAAGCAGTCAGGACTTATTTGACAGGCAGAACCTAGACCAGAGAATCTATAAGACCACCTTTGCCTCTCCACTATCTGAGCCCCCTACTCCATGTGGATTTCTTTTATAGTTTTAAATATACTGAGCTTGAGGCAACCAACCCTTCTTCCCTTACTAGACTTGAACTCCCATTACCTGTGTGTGCCTAGAACTGTCACAGCACATGGAACAGGTGTCCTGGACATAGATGTTGTTCAGATGATATTTGTAGAGTGAATCAAGCAGGTGATGATGCAGTTGGCGGCATCAGCCAGGGACCAGACAACTGGGAGGGACATGAACACAGGGGCTTGGCATCAGCACCCACACTCAGTGTCAGAACATAAAGAAACAAAAGGCAGGTGATAAGAAATGATCTCTAGACCCACTCCAGATCTGTGGAAGTGGTGATGGAGAAACTTCAGCACACCTGCCCAGGTGGTGGGGTGGCTGTAAGCCTCATCACCCCATGTAATTTTCAAGGCAGCTCCTCTCGCCAGACGTCACCTATTAGCAATTCACTAGCCTCACTTAATACAAGCTGAGGCTGCAAGGATCAGAGGTTCAATTTCACGGAGCTATACTGATGCTCGGTAAACTTTCCCCCCTAATTTTTGCAGCTCCCATCAAAAACAACTAAAGAAAAAAAAAAGCACTCCCTTACAAATAAATCAGTCAAAAGAATTGCAAAAGCTGTTTTGTATTCAGAGCCTTCTGCAGATTTTAGAAATAGACTGTTTTCTGTAATAAGAGCAATGACTACTTTACAGAAGGTTATCAACTCCAGACACATAAATACAGGGACAGCTCCATGTACCACGGCAAGGCTCCTCTCTCATTCAAGCCCCCATTTCTCCATTAAGCTGCTAACTAGGTCATTAACAAGAGACCCATAGCCGCCCCGCAGCCCCCGCGTCTGCTTGCTCACCAGCTGGGTCGAGAAGCGAGAGCCTGGAATGATCGATTGCAGCCCTGCCAAGGGGCTAATCTTCTTTCCTGCGGCACATTCTGGGGATGATATCTTGTGGGCCTGTCTAGGCTCACAATAAATAAGCACTTAGCAATTTTCTTTGGAAAGATGGATGTAGTAGATGCCCTTACAGTTATTGGGAGGTTTACAGTGAATGGTGCTACATGACTCAGTCATGTTGGGAGACGAGAACAAAGGACAGTGATTGTAGCTAATGCCTAATTAAATTAGGCAAGGAGAACTGCAGTTATCCTAATAGTTATTGAACACTATTGGATCTGTAATATATATATATATATATATGTATATATATATATATATATACTAGACACACACACACACACATACACATATACCTCATGCTTCTCAGGCAGTCAAAAGACCCACGGAACCTGGGGTCCCAGCCTTCCTGAGGTTTGGTGCTGGATGTGAGGTAGGGTGCTAACAGTGGCAGGAAGAGCTGCACATGGAAGTTACCTTCGCTGTCAGCAGGAAGTCTTGCAGCGAGACCTGGCTGCATCTGAATCCCATTAGTGGGAGCCAATGTGCAGGCAGACGCGCTCAGCTGAAGTTACTCCTTCTAGAGCAGAGCGTTGGCTGCTTGGAATGCTGACGACCCGAAGTGTCCAGGTCAGACCTCGCTCGGTGGAGCCGTGATCCTCATCCACAGTCTGGCAAGTGCCTAAAACCAACACGACTAACGCTGAAGGCATCCAGCAGCGTGCACCTTCCCTCCCTTTGCCTGCCTGCCCCATGGCTGCCCTGCCCCGACTCCCACTTGGTGCTGCCCACCCACATATCCCCACTTTTCCTAATCGCGGTGCTCTCACCACCACCCATCAGGTTACTCAGGACCCAAACTTTGATGTGACCTGTGCTTCCTCCCTCTCCCTCATTCCTCCAGATTTAATCAGTTGGCAAGTTCTGACAATTCTAAATTCTAAACATCTCTTTGTTCCAGTCACTTCCCCAATCCAGGACATGGTCCTGTTTCTGGGTCACTGCAACTGCCTCTCTACTGGGTTTGCCTCAGTCTCTGCCCCACTGTGGCCAGCATGACCACGCTAACATATAAATCTGGTCATGCAGCCCCTTCTAATGGATTCTGTTCACACAGTGTAAGACAAATCATAGTCCCCACGTGGCCTGCAGGGCTATGGTCACCACAGCAGTTGACATCTCTGTGATCAAGCATCCTGGGTGTCCATGTATTAATAATATTGAGATGCATCATTTTGTTTAATCTGCATAACCCTCTTAGGGGATGGGTGTTGATGATGTCACCGTCTGCAGATCAGGAGCCTAAGAATTGAGAAAAGTCAGTACGATACCTGCTCTGTCTGACTCTACGGCAGGTTTACACACCACTGAGCCCCCTTGACCTGCTTACCTGTTCCAGCCTCATCCCATGCCATGACGTACCCATGCCAGCGTCAGAGCTAGTCCTCACAGCTGCCTCTGGAGCTTTGGTCTTGGACTCTCTGCCATGATGCTCCCTTCATTTGCTTGGAGAACTTGTGTCTATCCATTAGCTCTCAGCTTGGCCATCACTTCCTCCAGGAAGCCCTCCTCAATCCCCCTGCATGCTTCTATAGCACTACCTGGCATTTGCTATGAAAGAAAGGGTCACCTCACGGCAGGATTCTTGACTGTCTCCTATAAATCCACTGAAGTCACCAGTGGGCAAAGAAGGTCTCGTTCAAACATTGCTATTTTGGCATAACTCGACTCACAATGGATGCTTTAATGAGATGGAGGACGATGACAAGAATTTGGGGCCCCATTAAGCTTGTTGTGAAAAATCAGATGCGTATCAGATCAGGTTTGTCAGAGGAGGGGCTGCTACTAGGGAGAGGTGTAAATCCAGACATGGACTCACATTCCGGATGCCTTTTATTTGCTTAAAGTGTGGAGTTGCACCAAGCCTTTGAGGGTCTCGGATAAGTCCCCTCTGTGACAGGATTGGGTGAGCCTGGGTCATTGGCACCTTGTGCATGTGTGCGCCACGACCCTGAGGGCGATCCTCCGGAGGAGGGAGGGGCAGACGGGTGTCATTTGCACACGGGACGTTCGAGTGGGAATGAGACTTGAACTGGTGGCCTGTCGACCATGAGCACTCTGCCTGTGACTGGGGTTCTCAAAGGCCTGTTCTTGCAGCTCTCCCCTCAGGTTCTGTCCCAAGATCTAAGGACTTGTGTGTGGGTACAGGATGGGGTGGGGGCAGGCGGAGTTCACCATCTTCTGGGACGCGTGTGGAGGAGCTCGCTTATCTTAACTCACTTGGTGATGCTCACATTTGACTTTGAGGGAAGTTCAGTCTGATCCTAAGCTTCTGCCAAGGTGTAACCTTCACCCGTAGCCGCCTCCTCTTCTCCAGAACAAGGTCCTACCTGGCCCTTGTTTCTCTGAGGGAGTTTACACAGCACACAGCCTGGTCCCCAAAACCTATCAAAGAAAGGGACCTGCTGCATCTCTGCAGCCTGCCATCAGTAGGGAAACGCATGATGAATTAAATGATCAGCTTTTCAACATGTATAAAGTTGGGATGCATTTCAAACTTTCCAATAGACATGGACAGCTGCTGGTGGGGGCACCTGGTTTTATCACAGGCCCTATCACTCTTCTGCACATTACTCAGCAGATGGGCTGTCAGCTCAGTGTTGATCTGTCCTCTGCACAGAAGGGGTTAATGTTAGGTAACCAGGGCCAGTCCCCGAGTCCACCCCCTTTATGCCCTGAAATCACTTGGTTCTATGCGAACAAACAGGAGCAGAGATCTGGGAGTGTTTCTGCCCTGGTGACCTCAGCCCATGTATCCATTTTGCCCTTTCCTCACACTGTGTCAATTATAAAAATCCAGATGGGAATTCAGAACAACCACCGGGTTTTACTGTTAAGCAATGTCAGAAATTTTGGAAAATATCTGTAAGACTAATTCACTTTCTACCCATATTTCTTATTTCAGGTAGAAAGAGTTATGATTTGTCCATCATGTAATGGTGAAAATTAACTAAATAAGCATGTCTTGAGGTATATTGGGTGAGGGATGACTCACAAGAAAATGCTGAGGGGATACATAACACCATAGTTGACAGACTCGGGACACGAGGGACGTGACTAATGTGACTAAAACAGCTCAACATCTGGGTGTGGTATGAAAAATAGATGCCACGTAAGGAAGAGGTCAATGCAGGTGCACATAACTGGGGGAGGGGAAGCCTGAGGGCTGAGGACGTTTGGCTGAGCTGAGGGGAGAGGTGGGGGCATCGTCCAGCTGCAGGGACCTCCAGCAGCGGGGCTGGAGCATGAGAAGACTTCCCACAGAGCTCAGTTCTGCTCTGCTATGATCTTGGGGATTTGGTGATGTGAGCAAAACCACCTTCCTGGAAAGGGAGACCCCGATTCTGAAGGAGAAAGCCAATTGCTTCTTCTCTTCTGCCTCTTCCTTCTGACTCTCCAGCATACTTTTCTCCACCTCTGCCCATCTCTGAGGTGAACAGCTTCCCGGGCTCCCACCTCTCAACTCAGAGACCGCCTCTTCTGTGCTCACTTATCTTGATTCACCTTGTGCTGCTCGTGGTTCCTGTATGGCATCTGTTCTGTTCCCTCCACATGCTTCCCATGACCCCAGCTCTACCCTCTTCTCCCTGAGACGAGAGCCCTCCATGGACTCAAGCGTATGATCCCCTATCAGTGCCGCTGGGAAGAACGAAAATCTCATAATTCTGAGCAGTCTTGAAGGATGTCTTACACGGATGGATCTGGGCCTCCCTGGAGAGTTGGGAAATTGAGCAGAGGTGACACTGCTGGGGACAAAGGGAAGCAGACCTCGCACAGCCCCCAAGGCTGTGGTGGTGGCCACAGGGAGCCTACGCTTGTTTTGCAGAAGGAGCAGCCTGGTGATGAAAACCCCTCTTGAGTGAGTACACGCTTCTTTGCGATGCTTGAGGCATTTTCACTTCCTCACATCCACTATCTTGCCAGGTCGTGTCTTCACAGTCACCCTGGGAAGGCGAGTGTTTGTATCTTCATTCTGCAAGAATAACTGGGCTTGAGGCACTAACTACCTGCAAAGTCACACAGAGTTGAAATCTGAACCTGACTCTGATTACAGATCCAATGAGCTGCCTCCCCACCAGTGGGTGGAAGAATCATTTGGCAGAAGCAGGAGCCTGAAGTGGCGGGGAGAGAAATGTGGATGGAAGAGCAGCAAAACTAAGGGGTGGTGGTGGGGACAGAGAGAGGGGAACCCCCAGAGGGACCCAGATGAAATAATCCCACAACTTGGTCATTTCACATGCAGGGACTGTCTTAGCTGGTTTCCTAGAAGCAGAGCCGGAAACAAGGGTTCTCGCGCAGATGCTAAGCAGTGTCTCCAGAGACCTTTGAGGCAGTGAGAGAAGAGCAGACCAGGGAGAAAGCTGAGCAAGAACATGGCTTCAGGCCATGTCTAGCCTCAGCTTGATCCCATGGGGAGCTCTGGAGCATTAATGTCACCACAGGGTCTGTTCCACTTAGAGGCTCTGGGCCACCCTGGTCCGGCTGGGGGTGCACAGCTCAGGGACATTTGGGCAAGGCAGTTCCAGGCTCCCTGGGCAGTTGTCAGAGGACATAGCAGGTGTGGGGGTTAGCAGCAGCCCCAGTAGTAGCTGGTGAAAGGGACCCCTGGGGACCTGCGTAGGGCACCAGCAGTGTCTTTTAAAGAGTGAAGACAGGAACCGAGTGACCCATGTCCCCAATCTCCAGATCTGGCAGACTGGGCAGCCACGGTCAGGCTGACGAGGAAGCTCTGAAGGATACGACACATTTCAAGTTTGGACAGACTGAGGTTAGAAGAGGCAATGTTCCCTAGTCTACAAGAAATGCAGGCTAATAGACAAAGGCCACAAATCGGACAAGAAGAAGGTTTGGAGCGGGAGGAGGGGACATCCAGACCACGGTGAGAGGCGAGACCCAGGGCACAGAGGGGTGAACGAGGAGAAGAGGGCAGGGGGACATCACAGGGCTGAGCCAACAAAGGAAAGAGAGCAGCAAGTGCCTGGGGAGCCAGGAAGGGCAGCACCGTGCCACATCAAGGGGGAGTGGCTCCCCCATACCTGCTCAGCGCCTGGAGAAGTCAGGGAGGAGGGCTGGCAAGGAGACGGCCTTCTGTCACCAAGAGAGGAACGCCTTTGGGTGGAGGGTTGGCGCCGGCTACCTTTCTAATACTGTGAAACAGTGAGCTTCTCCAGTTCATAGGTCACACAGATTTGTAGCAAAAAAGTGAGTTTGGATGTTGCTGATTGGCAGTGGGGGAAGGACCAGAACAGGGTGGGTGGTCTGCCCTAAGTGGTGACTATGTTTGACACATGCAGGAGGCTACCCTGAATGATGCTCAAAATCTCTTCCTTGCAGAGGTCGGAGGCCTGCAGATCAAGGCGGGGCAGTGGGGGCAGAGTCGGAGGCTGCAGGAGAAAGACAGTGAGAGGACACGCTGGCAGGGAGGATGAAAGCCTTCCCAGAAAACAACAGCAAAGTCTAACTCAGGAGGACTGATCTTCCTGAGTTTCCTCCTGCTGATTCATGGGCAGGAGCAGGGAAGTTCGGGGCGGGAGGGAAAGAAGGATGGAAGGGTAGAGGGCCACACATCAGCTTGATCACCATCCATCTGTCCTTCTCCGGCTGGTGCATGCTCCAGGGAAACCTCGGGAAGCATTAGCCTGCGAGGATGAAAGGAGACGCTATATTCACACGCACTTTGGGAGTAAAATTGCTACATCAATACGAGAGTTAGCATGATCTCCAGGCAGAATTTATTTCAGAAATGCAGCCTGTTGCTCTGGGATGCTGGAAATGCCAACTCGTAGCATCATCTTTGTGATATGTTGGTCATTTGAATAGTACATTTCTGCTTTCCCCACACTGGCCAGGC